AATGTCTCCGGGGCCTGTAAGCCCTAAGTTTTAGGCTTTTAGGCTGACTGTCTGGGACGGGCCCTGTAGGGCCCGTGTGGCTACGCAGTATGCCACAGTCTTATTGAAAACTAAGATATCATCTAAATAAACTAATACAAACTTGTCTAACCACGGCCTAAACAGATCGTTCATACATCGCTTAAACGTCGGTGGCGCGTTAGTCAGTCCAAAGGGCATCACTATAGACTCATAGTGCCCATATCTAGTCCTGAATGTAGTCTTGTACTGGTCATCAGGATGGACCTCCGTCTGATGGTATCCGGACTTTAAGTCTATCTTAGAGAAATACTTGCAAATTGCACCCGATCAAACCCCTGTAGTCTATACACATACAAAACTCTCCTTCCTTCTTGGGGGCAAACAGAACAGGTGCTCCAAATGGAGACGAACTGGGTCTGATCCAACCTTTCTCGAGGAGTTCGTCTAACTGCTTGCGTAACTCCTCTAACTCTCTAGGGGACATCCGAGAGACTGCTCCGTTAGGGGTTCTACTGCCAGGCTCTATCTCTATCCGTGTTGAATGGGTCGCGGCACTACTCCTGTCGGCGACTCGGTCAAATCTTTGAACTCTTCCAGTAGCTTGCCAAGCGTTGGATCTGCGGAAGTCACCTCTTCCTTAGCCTCAGAGACAGATCTAACGTAAACTACAAAGACCTGTTCCTCTAATCGCTTCTTCTTCACTAACCGCGCGAACGCGGGAGCACTGAGACAGCAATGTGCCAAGCTGTTGTCTACACCTGACACATGAAACAGGCGGGCAGTCTTAACCTCGCCTTACGGACGAGGGAGCCTACACTCATGCTCTCTCAAGTGGAGTGTGGCCCCTGCTGCCTCTTCCCAATCCATTCCTAACACTATGTCGAAAGGAAGGTCACCCTGTACGAGGAAAGTCAGGGAATGGAGAACTTTCTCCACCTGCCCATCCTTCTCTAGGCGGAAGTACGCTTGGACTCCCTCTACGTAGTCCTCAACTCACATTGTGTGGTTGTTTGCGAGGACACTGACTATAGGGTCTGCTAACTTTTGGACTTTCAATCCTAGCCTCAGCTTCTTCAGCACCCTACGGCTAATATAAGGGCCCTGAATCTATAAGGGCCCCTACTCTGCTTCTAAACACTTCTACATCTACCAAGGTCAGTTGTCCCTTACTCTCCTTCTTCATTTTGGCCCGGGCTTGCATCCTTTCCTTCAGCTCTTCTGCGACACCTGTGAGGGACGTGCCTAGAGAGACGCTAACACAAGCATTCTCTCGAGAGCTAGCTAGGCACGGGCCTGCAACCTCTGCCATAGGCTCATGTGGTTTGGGAGTTCCTGTTCGCGCGCGCTTGCTTCCCCACATGGCCCTGAAGTAGGGGCAGTTGCAACCCCTATTGGCGGCTGCCTTTTGACTGCTGGGCAGCCCAACGGGCCTGTCTATACTTGGGACAAAATTTAATAATGTGGGCCGGGTCACCACAAAACACGCACTGACCCAAGTCCACGCATTCCTCCCATAAACGTTGGTCCAAGCCCAAATCCTCCCAGGGCCTGCCCTATGGCAAGCTTGGGTGTCATCCTCCTTGAGGTGCTCTTCCACCTCGTCGCTGTGGGGACCGACAAGAACCTTGGCGATTTGGCGGGGGACCTTGACCCCTACCTCCCACTTGGCGGTTCCCTTGTCCGCCAACCCCCTGTGCGCCCGGTCCTCGGCCTCCCATGGCCTGGCCCCTTTGGCCCTGGCCACCTCCTCTACTTTGCGGCCTCCCTCCAACCGCGACAGCAGCGTAGGACCTCCCCTGTCCCACAATACTGTCCTGCTCCTCAAGGCCCCATTCGATTTGACTATATGGGACCTCATTTGTACCACCTTCCTCTAAGGTAAGGATCATATGATCCTTGGCCCTCACTTGGCCTGAGATGGTACGACCTTTCCACTTCTTCCCCTTGTCTAAGTCATTATGCCAGAAAGTGGTAACTCGCATGGACTTGGCCTCAAACAGCACCTCTCTACTGAGCGTATCGTACGTCATGGTGGGCTGTTGGGATTTGTCAAAGAAGTGCCCACACAGGGGCTCTGGCATGGCACGATAAAATAATTGGACCAATTGGGTCTTAGTGACCCCATGGTGTGGGACGGCTACCAAGTCGTCCATGACGCCCTTGAGTGCCTTGGCACTCCTCCACTGTCGTGAGTGGATGGTTTGGAGCTTATCAGAGGCTCTAACGCCTTTGTGAAGATCAGCGAATCGATCCCTAAGGAGCTTGAAGAATTGAGGGAGAGGGGAATCTTTGTATAGGCGACCATGTTGTTTTCACAACTTGCCGCGCGCGTGAGGGATCTAGCAAAACTGGCCGCTTTGTCCTTGAGGGCCTGGAAGGCTACCAGTACTTGATCATCCTATACGATGTGCTGTAAGTAGACGTAGTTGTTTACACTAGCCTCCCAGTTGTCGAAGTTCTCGTCAGATTTCCCACCATAGGCATCGGGAAACTTGAGTTTCACTGGCTCCTTGCGAGGTCTGGCCTCGCCCTCAACAGCGGCTGCTACTTTGGCGCCCTCGATGGCATCTTCACAGAACTTCCCCACCTTTTCTCTCAACCGCCTGACTTCCCCTCCAACGTGGGTAACCATTTCTCGCGCGAATTCTCTAAATTCGGACCGCATGGCACTCGGCGCTACCTCTTGGCTCCTATTGGCCTGGCTCTCCTCCATCCATGCTGCGCTCAGCACCTCCAGGTACCCCAACACCTTATCCCATTTGGCCATGTCGTCTGCCTTGGCCTCCACTCCTTGCCTACAATCCTTCATCTTCGCCACCTCTGTGGTCCATCTGTTAACTTCATCCCTCCTTTTCTTCTCCCTCTTCATTCTCAACTTCCACCCCAACTTTTTCTCCTCCTCTCTTTCTTGTCTTTCGAGGGGGTCATCCATTGCTGCTAGCTGCTAGGCTAACGCATCCCTTTCATCCTGAGGCACAAAGAACTCCGCCTCCTCATCTTTCCCCAACGATAAATTAACTATCCACATACTAATCTTCTTCTCCAACCCTCCGTCTTCGTCCTTCTTCGTGCCACTACTCCCCTCTCTACTCTCAATGCGCATCCTCTCTTTTGCTTATTTTGCTGCTGCTTCCTCTTTGGCAGCCTTTCTCCTCTCTTCCTCCTCCTGCTGAACTCTCTTCATGTCCTCCTCCAGTTTCTTCATCTTTGCCGCCTTCTCCTCTGCGATCGTCTTTAACTTCGCTTGTTTCAGGAGCTCCTTCCTCTCCTTGTTCTCTCTCACTAAGGCGGCCATCTGTTCTTGCTGCTCAGGGGTGTAGGGGCTAGTACTCTTCCCACTACGAAGGTCAACGATGGTGACAAGTGCACAACCGGTTTGACGGTTCCAAATCTCACCACGTAGACTCTAACCCCTGACTGACAGACCTACTGACTCAGTCTAAAGACTCACAGAATCCTGACAGGGGTCCTGCCAACTAGGGTCTCTAGCCTAGACCTATACTATGGCTGTCGCTACTAGACCTGTTGCTGATCAGGAGGCATTTAAGGAGATCTCCCGTAACTCCTCAGGAATTATATAACGTCGCAGACAGGACGATGCGATCAGCAGGTCTCTCAATACTTGGACGGCCTGTTGTGCAGCCCACAGCTCGGATTTTGGGCCTACCGTGCCACACCGAGCAGCCCGCCGGTCAGTACCGGTCCTTGGGAGGGTTCATGTCCTTAGGGACAGTCAAGTCGTCAGACACAACTTTTAGCCCTACTCAGCCTGTGTGGGTTTGGTCAACAAGGCCCTATCCTTCATCCACAGAGTACTATCACCTAGGACAGAAGAGACTCGATGCAGAAAGAAGAGACAGACAGACTGGACTCAGCAAGTACCATAGGGTGTGTGCACATCCATAGGGCGAGGGATAGGCTGAAGGCTTGGCGAGATGTTACCGGCTCGAGCTTGGTCAAAGTCTTGGTCAACACCGTGGTCAACGGCGGTCGCTGCTGCGGTCAACCCCAGGTCAACTCCGGTCAACGTTGGTCAACACCTCCGGTCAACTCTCCCGGTCAACCCTTCGGTCAGCTATGGCTGTCGGCTTCTCTTTCCTCACCAACCTCTTTCTTCCCTTCACCTTCCTCGCCTCCTTTCACCCTGCTGTCTTCCTTCTCTTTCTTTTTTTTTTTTTTGACCGCCTCTCCTTCCTCCTCCGTTACTCCGTGGTCAGACTCCGCAGCTATGACCGCAACCTTCTTCTTCGTGGGACTGCGCTACAACTTCACTGGTAAGTAACAGCCAAACTTGTATCGATCATCTCTCTCTCTCTCTCTCTCTCTCTCTCTCGCGCGGTAGTGATATCTCCAGCGCAGCAGGTACGTAGTAACCCAATCTTGTATCGCTCAACCTTTCCCTCTCTCTCTCTCTCTCTCTCTCTCTCTCTCTCTCTCTCTCTCTCTCTCTCTGTCTTCTTCTTCGTCGTGGTCTTCTCTGAAGGTGCGCGGCGGCTTCTCCAACCTTCAGGTCCGCTATGGCGGACCATGACTCTCAGCGGCCACCTCTGCTATGGCGCATCACTCCTGCGACACACAACTCAACGCGTGGAATAGCGGGTACCAGCTCCGATACCAATACAATCAGACTCGTTCTCATTCACACTTGTCATGCATGTAAACAGTAGCGCAGCAAACTGGCGACATGCGCCCACTCAAAACTCAGAGTATGGCATCCAGATACGAGTTCACTTTCAACTGGGTATGGCGACTCAGCGCCCAAACAACTCACTGTTCACATACACCGGGTCAGCCTGGATATCCCATACGCGTCACTCTGAACACTCACACATACACACACACACACTTCACACTAACTCGAGCTATGGCGGCTATGGCCGCAACTACCCTATCGCTATGCTACGCTCCTTCTCTCTCGCCCACTTCAGCTCCGGGCTCTCTGCAGACCTCCTTTCACAAGTCGCTGTGGCAGCGCTTCCGCATGGCTCACGCAGGAATGAATGAAAGGCTGGGCGCTGCCTCTTGATTTATACTTCTGAAACTCATTGATCTGCCCTCTTCCATCGGCCCATGGTGCTCACAGTCCCTTGTGGTACTTGCTGGACCGGACTGGGACTGACTGGACCTTCCCGCTGACTGAGTGGGGACTCACTGCTAACCTACCACCGTCGTACTGCAATTGCTCTGCAGTTTAGTCCACCACTTGACTCACCACTTGCCCACTTGCCCACTTGCTGACCTTCTAGAAGCTACAGCTAGGACTTCCAGACTTCGCTAAGACTTCTATCCTACAGGTCTACAGATCGAACCCCTGCTACCTAGGGACCTATGACAGCCTATCAACTGTTTACGAATACACAGGTCACAGGTTCAACTCTCGGGGTCTACACAGGTACTGTACACAGATAGGGCAAGGTCTAGGGATCGAACCCTGGGGTCTGCGTCTGCTACTGCTAAGAGGTGAAAACCGTTTCATACCTGACGGCAAAGGCGACAGGAGGGAGCTGCTCGACGGCGAAGGCGACGGGAGGACACTGCTCGACGGCAAAAGCGAAGGGGGTTACCTGACGGTGAAGGCGAGGGGGGGGGGGCTGCGCAACGGCGACGGCGACGGGAGGGGGCTGCGTGACGGCGAAGGGGATGGGAGGGGGCTGCTCGACGACGAAGCCGGTACGATGGGCCTGCAACACACGTCGGCGAAGGCGATGGGAGGACTGGTCGATGGACGACAAAGACCCTTCCCGGCTCGGCAAATGGCGGGCTTTGCGAAAGGCAGCCTTTCCCAACGTTCGAATTCGAATGACGGTGGAGGCTACCTTTCTGGCGACTGATCTCAGCCACTGATCTTCGCAGATCGGCGGCTGGGATCAGTCGCCAGAAAGGGCCTTCTCCCCCCCCAAAAAAAAATCGAAAAAAAATAAAAATAAATTCCCTTCAAAATATTTTGCAGGGTGTGTGGGAAGGCCGCCTGCATCCGCCCAGGCCCTCACGTTTAGCCAGAGGCAAGTGGGCAAGTGGTAAGCCCAGCTGCGCTGAGTCGGCAGTGCGACTGCGTCGAGTCGGCAGTGCAACCCTATGCAGTCAGCGGTACCGGTCCCAGTCAGTCGCAGTCCAGTCAAGCAAATACCGTGTGGGACTGTGTGCACCAAGGGCCTGGTGGAAAGGGGCAGACCAACGAGTTACAGAAGTATAAATCAAGAGGCAGTGTCCAGCATTCATCCATTTGCTGCGTAAGCCATGCGGAAGCGCTGCCACAGCGTCTTGTGCGAAGGTGGTCTGCAGGTTGCCCGAAGACGAAGTGGGCTGAAGAGCGAGATCGTAGCCATAGCCGCGGCACGAAGAAGATAGGTTTAGCATGTCTGTGTGGTGGTATTCAGGGTGATCCAGAGTGGAGTATGTGCGAAGGGTGGTGTTGGACACAGTGACGAGAGTTGAGTGTGCAGGCGCTGAAGCGCCATCGTTTGTTGGAGCGATTTTGCATCTGAAGTGTGTTCTCGTTTCCATATCTCTGAGCTTTGAGTGGGCGCGAAGCGCCAGTGTGAATCGCCATCTGTTTGCATGTATGTAAAGAGGAAAAGAAAGCGAGTCTGATTGCAACACCAGAGTTCACACGTGAGAAGCCAAATCGAGATACAATCCACACTTGAAGATGCCGTCTCCAATATTATTATCAATATACAAAAATGTTTGTCCCCAGCAGCTCTGCCGCCCAGACACACAATGGATCTCAACCAGATAGCGGCTCTGGCTTCTCCCTTCTCTCTCTCTCTCTCTCTCTCTCTCTCTCTCTCTCTCTCTCTCTCTCTCTCTCTCTCTCTCTCTCTCTNCTCTCTCTCTCTCTCTCTCTCTCTCTCTCTCTCTCTCTCTCTCTCTCTCTCTCTCTCTCTCTCTCTCTCTCTCTCTCTCTCTCGGTCGTCTTCTTCATCGTGGTCTTCTTTGCAGGTGCGCGGCGGCTTCTCCAAACTTCAGGTCCGCTATGGCGGGCTTCGTCTTCTGGCGGCCACCTCAGCTATGGCGCATCAGGCCTTATACACGACGCTGCGCATGGAATAGCGGGTACCAGCTCCGATACCAATGCAATCAGACTCGTTCTCATTCACACTTTTCATGCATGTAAACAGCAGCGCAGCAAACTGGCGACATGCGCCCACTCAAAACTCAGAGATATAGCATCCAGATACGAATTCACTTTCAACTGGCTATGGCGACTCGGCGCCCAAACAACTCAATGTTAACTGTGGCGGCTATGGCCGCAACTACCCTGTCACTATGCTACGCTCCTCTCTCGCCCACTTCAACTCCGGGTTCCCTGCAGACCTCCTTGCACAAGTCGCTGTGGCAGCGCTTCCGCATGGCTCACGCAGGAATGAATGAAAGGCTGGGCGCTGCCTCTTGATTTATACTTCTGAAACTCGTTGGTCTGCCCTCTTCCATCGGCCCATGGTTTTCACAGTCCCTTGCGGTACTTGCTGGACCGGACTGGGACTGACTGGACCTTACCGCTGACTGAGTGGGGACTGACTGCTAACCTACCGAGTTCGTACTGCAATTGCACTGCAGTTTAGTCCACCACTTGACTCACCACTTGCCCACTTGCCCACTTGCCCACTTGCTGACCTTCTAGAAGGACTACAGCTAAGACTTCTGGAACTCGCTAAGACTTCTTTCCTACAGATCGAGCCCCTCTGCTACCTATGGACCTATGACAGCCTAACAACTGTTTACAAATGCACAGGTCACAAGTTCAACTCTCGGGGTCTACTCAGGTACTGTACACAGGTAGGGCACGGTCTAGGGATCGAGGCCTGGGATCTGCATCTGCTACTGCAAAAAGGTGAAAACCGTTTCAATGACACCAAGAAAAGAAAAAATGGAAAAGAAACCAAACCAATGTCATGACAACGAAATGACAAACCATACAGAAGCTAATGAAACATGGTCCCCTTGGTTTGGTGTCCTAGATTTAGACTTACGAAGCTGCTAACCA